GCCTTCGCCGCTGCCGCCGCGCATAGCCCCCGGAGAGCCCTGTGGGGACCCCGACCAGAAGGGACCCTGCCCCGGGAGAAGGTATCAGACCCACCTGGGGAGGGAGAAGCTGGGCCCCGGGAGACTCCGCCGCCCCTCGCCTGTCCGCCCGAACACAACTGAAGCAGACTGCAGGACAGGGGTCCAGGGTCCTGGGGCTGCGCGGGGACGGGGCTGAGGCCCGCAGAGACCCCACGGGTGGGGGGATGGCTGGGCAGGGGCGGGGCCTGGCTGCAGAGGCGCCGCTAGGGGAGGAGGGCGGCTGGGGGTGGGGGTGGGCGTGCGGAGAGGTGGGCATTAACCTCGCTCTCGCCCTGCTCGTATTTACAGGCTGTGGAGACCTGGGCCTTCTGCGATCACCCTAGGAATTGATCCAGATATGTGCCTCCTGCCCTGATCACTCCCCCTAAATTAGTATCCGCAGAGATTCGAGGACATGCCATTGACCCTGTTACAGGATTGGTGTCGGGGGGAGCACCTGAACACCCAGAGGTGCATGCTCATCCTGGGGATCCCCGAGGACTGTGGAGAGGATGAGTTTGAGGAGACACTGCAGGAGGCTTGCAGGCACCTGGGCAGATACAGGGTGATTGGCAGGATGTTTAGGAGGGAGGAGAACGCCCAGGCGATTCTACTGGAGCTGGCACAAGATATCGACTATGCTTTGCTCCCAAGGGAAATACCAGGAAAGGGGGGGCCCTGGGAAGTGATTGTAAAACCCCGTAATTCAGATGGGGAATTTCTCGACAGATTGAACCGCTTCTTAGAGGAGGAGAGGCGGACCGTGGCAGATATGAACCGAGTCCTCGGGTCGGACACCAATTGTTCGGCTCCAAGAGTGACTGTATCACCAGAGTTCTGGACCTGGGCCCAGACTCTGGGGGCAGCAGTGCAGCCTCTGCTAGAACAAATGTTGTACCGAGAACTAAGAGTGTTTTCTGGGAACACCATATCCATCCCAGGTGCACTGGCCTTTGATGCCTGGCTTGAGCACACCACTGAGATGCTACAGATGTGGCAGGTGCCCGAGGGGGAAAAGAGGCGGAGGCTGATGGAATGCTTACGCGGCCCTGCTCTCCAGGTGGTCAGTGGGCTCCGGGCCAGCAATGCTTCCATAACTGTGGAGGAGTGCCTGGCTGCCTTGCAGCAGGTGTTCGGACCTGTGGAGAGCCATAAAATTGCCCAGGTGAAGTTGTGTAAGGCCTATCAGGAGGCAGGAGAGAAAGTATCTAGCTTTGTGTTACGTTTGGAACCTCTGCTCCAAAGAGCTGTAGAAAACAATGTGGTATCACGTAGAAACGTGAATCAGACTCGCCTGAAACGAGTCTTAAGTGGGGCCACCCTTCCTGACAAACTCCGAGACAAGCTTAAGTTGATGAAACAGCGAAGGAAGCCTCCTGGTTTCCTGGCCCTGGTGAAGCTCCTGCGTGAGGAGGAGGAATGGGAGGCCACTTTAGGTCCAGATAGGGAGAGCCTGGAGGGGCTGGAAGTAGCCCCAAGGCCACCTGCCAGGATCACTGGGGTTGGGGCAGTACCTCTCCCTGCCTCTGGCAACAGTTTTGATGTGAGGCCTTCCCAGGGCTACCGGCGCCGGAGGGGCAGAGGCCAACACCGGAGGGGTGGTGTGGCAAGGGCTGGCTCTCGAGGTTCAAGGAAACGGAAACGCCACACATTTTGCTATAGCTGTGGGGAAGACGGCCACATCAGGGTACAGTGCATCAACCCTTCCAACCTGCTCTTGGTGAGGCAGAAGAAACAGGCTGCAATTGAGTCGGGAAACGGGAACTGGGCTTGGGACAAGAGCCATCCCAAGTCCAAGGCCAAGTAGGCTCGGGAGAACAGGTCAACATTTCCTACCACAGGCCAAGGAGACAAAAGAGATATTGGAAGGAGGGTAAAGAGAAGCCCAGACAAACAGCAGATGAGTTGAGTGGGGCAGAGGGACAGGGCAGCCAGACCAAGGCCAAGCCTTCTCACTCTCTGCCAGCTGGAAGGGACTTCAACAACCAAGACCAACTGGCAACAGGCTCAGTGGGGGTCAGGTCTGGGTCCCGGAAGAGGTGCTGGAGAGGAAAGCAGGGAGCCACTGCATCCAGCACATGGGATGCCTGGGCCTCAGATGGGGACCCCAACGAAGCAGAAGCTGAAGAAGGTATGGCTGGGGGTTCTGTCCTGCTCATCCAGCCACCCCTAAATACCCACCCTGTGGACTTTGAGCTGAACATGCCCACTGGCCCCAGGCCACGTGGGACCTGGAGGACCCTACTTGGGGCCTGCCCCTGCCAGAAGGTGCCAGGGCTGGAGAGGAAGAGCTGGGGGGGCAGAAGTAAAGCCTTGTAGGGGAGGCCACAGGGTCCATCCTGTCTTCAGGATCATCTACACTGCACTAGGGGAGCCCCAGGAAGGCAGCACCCTGGAGGCCCTGTGCCAGTGAAGACAGGAGATCCTAAGGCCCTGGGAGCCCAGTGCCAGCCAGAGATCGTGCAGGCAAGGAGACCAAAGATTGATGAGAAGATCCCCAACAGGGGTACTGGGTACCCGGCAGGCCATTGCCCTCACAGCTGGCTTGGACCAGGGTGGCTGTGAAGGGAAGTCTTTGTTGCAAAGGAGGAGGAGGAAAAGGGAGGACTTGGTGGGGTTTTGCTTCTTCTGCTTGTTTCTGCACAGGGCCACCAGACTCCTGGAGAGATCAGGCAAGGAGAACCTGTGGCTGCCGTGGCCAAAGCAACTCAACAGATGCCGATGCCAAGGCCAGCGCCAACCCTGCCACCTCGGGGAATCCAGCCTGGAGGCAGCCCCTAAGCAGCCAGCCGTGGCCTGGGTGGAGGCACCTGAAGACGTCTATCCCAAACTCCTCCGATCCTGAGCTGGGAGATGATAGGGGAAAGAGGCCCTCTCAAGGGTGCCAGCTGCCTGGGTCTCCCAAGAGGGATCCCCCAACTCGCTGTTCCCGGGACAGGCTGCCCCCATTCCAGGAAGCTCACCCTCACCTGTGTAGGCCCCGTAGTGACCCACACATCCAGCAGACGCCCACCCACCGCTAGCCGTTGTTCCTGCGCAAAGTAGTGTGCTGTGTGCCCACCCAGGCGGCCGCCTCTGGGCCCGGGGCACATGCTGTGAGCTTCCTGTGAGCCCAGGCTCTGCTCGCTGCTGTCCCGCACCACCTCTGCTTTCCCTGTGTAGATCTAGGCCAGTGGCTGCTTGTTCTCGTGGAGCTGTGTGTGTTCTTCTCTGAGCAGCTCCTCCCCGGAGGCCCCCAGCACAGTCCCAGGAGATGGCGGGAAGGAGGTGCCAGGGTACGGCGGACACTCACCCCGTGAGCACGATGGTGACTGTGACTGTGGGAGGAAGTACTGGACCCAGGACGGAGTGGGGCTGCCCTGCCTGAGGCTCCCGAGGAGCTTTGTGCTTTGGTGTTCCACCCCTGTTGTTACTTGTGACTTAGTTTCCTCGACCTGCTGGGGTGTTCCCTGCTGTTTTCCAGTGTCCTGTGACTGTCCTGTGAGGGCCACAGGGCAGGGCCCTGCCCCAGCAGATGGGCTTGGGAGGGGGCTCCCTAAAGCCAGTGGACACTGTCAGAGTCCACCGTCCAGGCAAGAGGCAGACCCTGGGGCCCTCAGGAAGGAGGGAGGTGGCAGCGGGGGCTGCAGTGGGAGTAGGGGCAGATGAGGCATCTTGCTGGGAACCCCAGGAGGAGGGGGCCCGGGACCTGTTTGGGACCTGTGTCCTGTGGTGACCGTTTGCAGTTTCTCTCTGTGTTGTGATTCCCTTCTCTTCAATGTTTCAGTACATGTTTCTCTTCAATAAATTTCATTCAGTGTTCCAGCCGGCCTCGCCTCTGCTGTGGGAAACTGGGGATGAGGTTGGCTGGGGATGGGGTTGGGGTGGAGTGAGGGCCACATGGCTTTGTTAACACTGGTGTATAATTGGGGCTCAGTCTACAAGTCATTGCGGAATGGCCTATCTGCACATGTTGGTCATGAGCTAGGGTTTGCAGCCCACGGACCCAGGCAAAGACACCCAGCTGAGCAGGCTGGATAGTCCCAGTAGACAGGACACTGGTAGGCCCAGGCAGTGGCTGGTTGGGTCCTCAGTGCACTGGTTGAGCTTCTCAGAAATGAATAACACATTTAAGGAAGGGTGAGGGACAGCAGGCTGAACCAGTGGCCCCAGGATCCCTTGTATCACTATTGGGGACTCAGGGCTTCCACACCTGGAGCATCAAAACCAGGCCCATCTCTGTGAGTGTGTGTGAGATGGTGAATATGTGTGAGTATGTGTACTAGTGATTGTGTGAGAGTGAGTGTAGAAGAGTGAGTTTGTGTGTGTCATGTGTCAGCGAATGTGTGAATATGTGAGTGAGTGTGTGAGATGGTGTGTGAATATGTTAATGTGTGTGTTTTTGAGTGTGAGTATGCATCAGTTTTTGTGTGTGAGTGAATGTGTGTCAGTGCTCAATGTATGTTTATGTGTTTAGTGTGTATGTGTGTTAGTAAAAGTATGTGAATATGTGAGAGTGAGATGGTGTGTGAATGTATGATAGTGAATGTGTGGGTGACTGCTGAGTGTGTATATGAATGAATATCTGTTTCAGAGTGTGTTAATGTTTATGAGTTTGTGTGTATGCGTGAATGCGTGGAATGGGTGAGTGTACATGTGAGGATGTGTGTTAGTGTGTGTGAGAGTTTATGAGAGGGTGTGTGAATTTTTGTGTGAGTGCAAGTGTTGGGTGATTGATTTTTTTTTTTTTTCATTTCTTTAAGGGCTCAAGAGAGTTGGAAAGAAGGCAGAGAGAGGTAGAAGTTGCTTTGCCACAAAACAGCAGTGAGACTTTTGTTGCCTCTAGGCTGACGGGCCCCAGAGCTGGGCCTACTATCTAATCATCCATTTCTGACCCCTGGTACATTCCTATTTTTAAGGTTCGCATGGCTTCCTGGCCTTTTGGCTAAGATCAAGTGCAGTATTTTTAAGGTCCCTAATCTTAAAATAGATATGTGTTACGGTTATTCCGTGATTAAAGCTGATAGAAACATCCTCGTATGAATCTCTGTGGACTTTTGTTTTCCTTTCTCCCGAGTAAAGACCTAGGAATGGAATGGCTGGGCCATAGCGTAGTGGTATATTTAACTTTATAAGAAACTTCACACAGATTTCCAAAGCTGTTGTGATAATTTATATTCTAATGAGCAGTGTTCGTTTCTTAGGGTACTCCAAAAAATCTTGTATTGCCAGCTTTAAACTTTTAGCCATTCTGTTGGGTGACTCATTGTGGTATCTCACTGTGGCATTAGTTTGCATTTCTGTGATGACTAATAAAATTGAGCACTTTTTTGTGTGCTTATTAG